ATTGGTGTTCTGTGCTCCAGTGTGGACTATCGGTAGCTGTTTTTGCAAAAGCAAAGCCATTGCAATTGGAAATGAATTTCCTCCTCCGCATAATAACACATACCCCACATCCCAGCTTTCTCAGAACATTGCATTTTAACCCACATGGCATTGATGAGGACATTTATCATACATCATATTGACCAGAGCTGAAGTTTTTGTTTCCAAGCTACAATTACTAGAATCCTCCAGGCTGTCTGAACACTTGACGGTGCTGATGGCCGGAGGGAAGTTGCTCAAACTCTGGTGCAATCTGAATGTTAGAAAGCCATCAGTGCCTATGGCATTGTGTACTTTCTCCATGAAAGAACTCAGCTGGTGGAATGGGGGCTGCCTTAACACTCATGGGGAACCCACAGACTTTGATCTAAGGTTGCACCCACCCAGTTTGACACTACATTAACAACAACATCAACATTTATTTTTAACCTGGCCTCTCCTCCCGAAGGGAGTCAATTCATCAACAATTTATCAACTCTATGAAATTTTGGGATTTGTAGTTTTATGAAATATTTACTCATCTCTATTAGAGAAGTCTGGTGCCATAACGGCAAAGTGGTGTTGAACTGCTATAATTCTGTAGTGCAGGTGGTCTCCAATTCTTCAGGCAGAATGAAATGTGCTCTGTGCCTAAAACGAAGCCAGCAGGTTCTTACCTCTAAGGATCACCTTTGCTGTTTACTGGATTATACGTTTTCCCCTTCTTTGCCTATCTCTCTTCTCTGCCATGGATTTCTACCAGAGGGTTGAGGACTGCAGAAAGTCCCCAAGTTACAAACAAGATAGGTTCTGTAGGTTTGTTCTGAAGTTGAATTTGTTTGTAAGTCAGAACAGGAACATTTTTACTCCAGCTAGCTAGCTAGCTAGATAGATAGATTAGGGGGGGGGGGGGATTTATAGACACACACACACAAGATTTGCATAGCATAGGGCCTTCCCCTATACTATCCAAATAGCAAAGCAAACACCACACCCCTATGGTGTTTGTTTTGCTATCTGTACTTCTGTTTAGAAGATTGCACCTCACTTCCTATCCCTGTGATAATTGGATTTTGGAAAATTTGGCATGTTGTGGTTTGGTGAGAAAGCTTCAGTGGAGACACTTTTTCCGTGTGATAACTTTTTCAGGACTGAATGTTTTTTCCTAAGGGTAGATTTCCATCACTTCCTGTTGTCTCATCCTCGTTTGTAACTGAGAGTCATTTGTAAGTAGGATGTTTCTAACTTGGGAACTGCCTGTATCCAGATTTTCTATTTCAAATACCAAAATGGCATGGCTTGGGCTGCTACTGCCCCCCCTCCCCCCCACGCGCGCCTCTATTGCAGAACCACAGTTTTGGAATTACTGACACTTAAGGAACAAGGATTGACATCACCCAGAGAGAGCTGATGATACAGCCAAAACTAAAATACAGGCTGTAATTACAGGGAAAGGGGAGGAGTGTGAACAGACTAATTATGGGGTTTGTAAGCAAAGGGCTAAATCTGACGTTTTTTATTGCTTAAGTACAAGAGGGCAAGGAGCCGAGGTGCAGCGGAGCATGCAAGGAACAAATAACCCGGTGATTGGGGAGTGGGGGAAGGAAATTGTGGACCAATCAGAATTATGAATAGTGTGATTAAAATATTTTCATGAGATAAACAATAAGATGTATTCTCTTAACTACTGGATTGTGGACTACTGGTAGCTGTTTTTGCAAAAGCAAAGGCATTGCAATTGAAGATGAATTTCCTCTTCCCCATAATCACACATACCCCACGTCCTAGCTTTCTCAGAACATTGTATGGCAGGGGTAGACAGCTGTGCAGGGAGAGTGGGTCAGTTTTCCTCCCTTTCCACATTAGCTTATTTCAGCACACCAATTTTGGTCAATTTTCAACCGATTTTTAAATGTTTTTCTGTGTTTCAGTGAGCAGGGGGGGGGGAGTTTGGAGAGTTTAGAAAGAAAACCATTGTGGTTTGAGCATATTTGAGCTAGCTTTGTAGCACCCCCCTCTTTAGCCCCTCCTTTTTTGGGAGGCACCTGGCATCCAAGGGTTCAAGGGCTGCGTTTGAGATCCCATGGGCTGCACTTTTTCATTTATGACAGGATTGTATGCCTCTGAGCAGAATTTCATTACATTCCATTTGTGTGAGATTTTGGCAGAGTTATACATTATACATGCCATATTTCTTTACCCGGGCATGCATTTGAACCATAAATTTATTTATTTATTTATTTATTTATTTACAGCATTTATATTCCACCCTTCTCACCCCGAAGGGGACTCAGGGCAGATCAGAGAACACATACACAGCAAACATTCAATGCCATTAAACAGACAGGACAGACAACAGATAGACATATTTCAGCATTTTTCCTAACTTTAGTGTCCTGGAGGCTGTGCTCAATTCCAGCCACGGGGGGGGGGGGGGGGGGTGCTGTCACTCCATCCTCTATGATGAAGAGTTCTTGATCACAGGATTCCCCCTTCCTTTGATCGCCAGCATTTTCTGGTATTTCCTTTTTATGGTATTGTAAAATACTTCCTCGCTTAAGTGGTGCCTAATTTCTCTACTCACAGCTGTTTTCAAACTGCTTAGGTGGACAGTGAGCTGGGCTGAAGATCCTGTGCTCATTCCGATCCAGGTTTCGAACTGCCAACCTTTTGATTGGTGTGATCTATTGCTGCTTAATACTGAAGTGTTAAGAGAACCTGTAATTTCATCAGAATAGTAGGAAGTCCCAGGTTCAGTTCCTGGCTCTTTTACTCTTCTCAGTTTCCTTGGCAAATATGGGCCATGATCCTCAGTAATCTACAGGTCAAACAAATGCAACCTGCCTTTGGAAGGGTGAACTGTTTGAAAACTTTCAAGATTCTTTCAAAACTCCCTGGATATTTGTGTGGAATCAGTAATCTAGGCACCATATCATTTTGGTTGCTTGTTGGTTTCCTGACCTAATTTCAAGGTTGTGTTTCCTTCCTTTAAAGACCTGAATGGCCTTCTACCTTAATACCTGGAGGCAGGTGTGGCCAAAATGTGGGCAGCATTCCTCACTATTAGCTATTCTGGCTGGAGCTACAGGGCCTTGCAATCCAACCATCTTCGGGAAGTGATTTGATTCCCACCCCTGCCTTTTGGATGGCTTCACCTCTTGATGGAAGTCCAGAGTTCACTTACTTAGGTTCAAATCTTCATTTGCCTATAGAAACCCACTGGGCGATCTTAGGGGCAAATCTCACTCTCAGCCTCAGGGGAAGGCAGAGGCAATTCTTCTCTGAGCAGATCTTTAAAGAAAACCCTGTAATGAGTTCATCTTTGTAAATAGGTATGTTGAAATAACATCATAGAGCCCTGATATACTCTGTAGCACTTGTTTCTGGGTGCCTATATTTGTGCTACTAGTAGCTGAATAGATAATATTGAATGTTTGTAGTCATGGTGCTGCTCATTTTTTTCTTTCATAGCAAAGGCTATGTCTTTTCAGGAGGCTTTTTGTCTTTGATGCTATGGAATTATAATGAGCATGTCCTCATTGCAATATAAACAATGTCTGCTATTTGTTCAATTTACCAGCTCTATTGAAACTTGCATTTTTCCAAAGACAGATTAAAAAAAAACACAACAGGCATATACGTGCAGAGAAAATGAGAAACTGGTGGTGTAGAGTGGAGCTGAACAAATGGGGAAGGTCAGAGGGCCACGTTTGCACCAAAGGAGACTTTAGATCCTCCGAAAAGGAAGGAAAACTTCCAAATGCCTCTAGGGACCATGGCCGGCATTTTCATCATGTTGCAAGTTTACAAAAAAAAAGTTCCACTCCAAGGCTGGGAATCATCTCTGTACTTAACACACAATCTAGTCCAGGGTATAATTGCAAAGCAGTTTATTGAAGGATATATATATATGTGTGTGTGTGTGTGTATATGTGTGTGTGTGTGTGTGTGTATATATATATATATATATATATAGAGAGAGAGAGAGAGAGAGAGAGAGCAGTCCAGCAAAATAGTGTAAAAATCAATGTCCAAAAACAGGTATAATCCTCAAAGATCAGAGTGCATGAAATGCATCAAAAACCAGGAATACAAAAGCAGGATAAATCCAAACATGCAATACAGAAACAGTCTTTAGGAGCTTGAGACATGAAACATAGTGTGGAAGTGCATTCATTCGACGGGATTTAGAAGGAGTAAGGAGCTGTGGTGGCACAATCTTTGTGCCGGCTGAACTACTGACCAGAAGGTTGGCAGTTCAAATCTACAAAACGGGATAAGCTTCCATCTGTCAGCCCCAGCTTCCCATTTTTTTCCATGTCAGGAAAGACTTGAGAAACTGCAAGTCACTTCTGGTGTGAGAGAATTGGCCGTCTAAAAGGAAGTTGTCCAGGGGACACCCCAATGTTTTGATGTTTTACCATCCTTGTGAGAGGCTTCTCTCATGTCCCTGCATGGGGAGCTGAAGCTGACAGAGGGAGCTCATCTATGCTCTCTCTGGATTCAAATCTACGACCTGTCGGTCTTCAGTCCTGCTGGCACAAGGGTTTAACCCATTGCGCCACCGAGGGCTCTCGTGCGGGGACATGAGAGAAGCCTCCCACAGGATGGTAACACATCCAGGCATCCCCTGGGCAACGTCTCTATAGATGGTTGAGTCTCTCACACCAGAAGCGACTTGAAGTCACTTCTTACATGATAAAAAAAATTCTAAAGTGTGGATGCACCCTAAGTCCCTCAGCCTAATGACATCTGGATCTGATTCAGTTTGATCCCTTACTTGTACCACTCTTTCTCAACATTTCTTTTGCCTGTTTTTTAGCAGTTCTTAGGAGACAGAACAGTTCTGTCAATCAACACATTGATTTCTCAAAATAAGGTGGCAGAAGAGACCCAAACATGTCTTTTAAAAGCCAAAATTGCACGGTTAGTCTGACAATTCAAACCTGGTTTCTTTCTTTTTTTCTTCTTCTTCTCTTAAGGTTTCGAAGTGTTCAGAAGAAATTAAAAATTACATTGAAGAAAGATCTGGAGAAGATCCTCTGGTGAAAGGCATTCCTGAAGACAGAAATCCTTTTAAAGAGAAAGGAGGCTGCATAATTGCTTAGAGGAACAGGATTTAGGCAATTTTTGAAAGTGGCATAATAACAAAAACCCTTGAAGAACTAGCTCAATTTATGTTCCAGTTCTTATCAAACCAATACAGATTTTTTTAAAAAAAAAATGAGAATGGAAATATCTGCTTATAATTTCCTTCCCTGAAGCAGATTCTTGCTTAATGTATCACTAAACACATTCCTAGAAGCTGTTACCTGCTTTTTAAATTTCCTGTGCTGCTCTTGGTTTGAATAATGATATTAAAAAAACCCTAATTGTACACCTAACCACAGTGCTATTTTCAAGATGCATAGTTAAACGCTTCTCCTGAATGTCTGTGCATGTGTGGGCAGACTATAGAATTTTAACCTCAAAGGCAATGACAGTTAAAGTGGTGTCAAACTACATTAATTCTACAGTGTAGAAGACTCCAGTTGCCAAAAGAGCCAAGCAAAAATCCCCCAGAATCACATTAATCCCATGGTGGCACAATGGGTTAAACCCTTGTGCCAGCAGGATTGAAGATCAACGGGTTGGAGGTTCAAATCCAGGGAGAGCATGGATGAGCTCCCTCTGTCAGCTCCAGCTCTTCATGTGGGGACATGAGAAAAGCCTCCCACAAGAATGGTGAAACATAAAAAAAACATCCGGGCATCCCCTGGGCAACGTCCTTGCAGACGACCAATTCTTTCACACCAGAAACAACTTGCTCCTGACGTGGAAAAAAATACTTTCTGGAATTATTCATCCAGGAAAGAGCACTACTGAAAAGGAGTATCTTTAATAGCAACTCCAAAAACTCCCACAGCCTGAATGGTGATCATGCTGTGAGTGGGATTCTGGGAACTGTAGTCCAAAAAAAGTATGATTTTAAAACTCTGGTCCATGAATGGGAACCTCTCTTTCATAACTATGCATACAGTCACTACATTAAAGAAGCTTGATCTAGTTAAATCTATGACTGCTGCATTGAGACATAGAAACAGCTTTTAAAACATTATTCCAAAGACAAATGCTTATAACAATTGCACATTGCAAGCATTGTTGGAAGGATTATCCCTTTCTTGTACCTACACAATAAAATGTCTCTTCTAAGACAATGTATTTAGATAAGATGTGCTAGAAATACTGAGAAGTATCCTTTTAGGGAAGCCTTGGGATTCTCCATGTAGCCAGAATGTGAACAAGTGGAATGGGTATGACTTGTACAAGGTCTTTAGCCTCCTCTGACAAAGACTGCTGGCATTTCACTAAACTACAAATCCCAAGATTCAATAGCATTGAGCCATGGCACTTAAAGTGGTGCCATACTATATGAATCCTACAATGTAGATGCACCTTAGGATGCCAAGAGACAGGTTTTGAATCCCTCACTCAGTAGTTGTAAGAACTTCGGCAAGTTTTATTTGCTGAGGAAACTGGCTGAAATATGCCAAATAGTTACAGGGCAGTAGCAGTCATGGGGGTTGACATTAGCAGAGGAACACAGGGGCAGCGGCACCACACTGTGCAGAAGAAGATACAGTAAACCCCTTTCCCAATGTTTTAGTATGTGAAAACCCATGATGAGATAATTCAAAATGAAACAAGAGACAGTGCCCAAAGATCAGACTCTCAGGTCAAAAGGCATTCAAAGCGCGACTCTGGTACAGCAGAAGACAAGAGGATAACTATGAGTAGTGCCGCAGTTGGACTTAAGCCGAAAAGACATTTTGCTGTTGACGTGTTCAGAGATGATTGGAAACTCCAAATCTACACAGCCCATATTATACGAAGATGGAATGTAGGACGCATAAATCGGGGAGCTAGTAAATCAAGAAATGTAGAAATATGACCGTACTTGCGTCGAGAAAGCTAAAGTAGACAGGAATGGAGTGTTTGTAGTCTGATAATTACATAATTACACAGTGAAATAAAATTACTCAGGAAATGAAACTCTAAGAAGGAATGGGTGACATTAGAGATTTGGGACCTTATCACATAAGCCTGGTAAATTGCAATTACACATTTATGACATTATGTTGTGTCTCCTATGCTGGTTTGCATTTAAATCATTGGTGAAATGCACTTTTCCCCAATATTGCTGCTTGATTCTCATCTTCACCTCGGTCTCCCTCTCCTTTTCTGTCTTCCTAAGGAGGCTGTGGTTGGTTTTATGTGCAGAAAAATGAGCCCTGAGGAATGGAGAGGGAGGTTTAGCAAAGTTAGTTCTAAGTTCACTCCTCTCTCCCAGAAACACCCTCCTTCTTAATTCAATATCACTTCCCTTTGGGCCACAAGAATTGTCTCCTTCAAGAAGAAGAAGAAGAAGAATCATAGAATCAGAAGAAGAGGAGGAGGAGGAGGAGGAGGAGGTCAAACAAAAATTATATAATGACATAAAATCTGAACATAAAGCATCCACATTAATTTACAGAAGCTAACTATCACTCACAAAGTTATGTGGTTTGGTTGTGTGGCCAGGACTAGCAGAGCCCAGATACGAAATAGTTCTCAACCTGAGGTCCAGTAGTGATCTCTCATTGTCTAATCCAACAGTGTGAGAAGGTATTCAAATGGAGAAAAAGGGATCTACACCTGCATCTCTGGTACTTTTAAAATATATACTGTATTCCTTTTATTTTAAGACGTACTTTTCTATAAATATAAATATCTTAGAATTGTGGGTACAAACCTACTGTTGCCCAGATGATGGAGGGGCCCCTGCCCCTTGCTTTCATCCCTTCTTCCTCTTTCCTTCCTTCCTTTACTTCATACCCTTCTCACTTCCCCTTTTCTTCYTTCCTTCCCTTGTTTTTCTTTCTTCTCCCTCCRTCCCTCATTTCTTTTCCTTCTTTCCTTTCTTTCCTCCTACCCCTTATACACTTTTTTTTCATGTCAGGAGCAACTTGAGAAACTGTAAGTCACTTCTGGTGTGAGAGAATTGGCCGTCTGCAAGGACATTGCCCAGGGGATGCCAGGATGTCTTGATGTTTTACCATCCTTGTGGGAGGCTTCTCTCACKTTCCTGCACAGAGAGCTGGAGCTGACAGAGGGAGCTCATCTGCGCTCTCTCCAGATTCGAACCTGTGACCTGTCGGTCTTCAGTCCAGCAGGCACAAGGGTTTAACCCATTGACCACCGGGGGCTCCTATACCCTTATAGACATGTCACCTTTCTTATTGACATCACAGAGGGTCACTTCACCTAGTAACAGCCAGCCCTTTAGCTAACAACATCCAAATTCAGTGACATCACAGAGGGCCACTTCATCAAGCAATAGCCTTTGTGGTACAAATGGACAAACAAACAAACATAACACCTACCTTGATGGGAAGAGAGAGAGAGAGAGAGAGAACTTTTTTCTGTTGGTAGTACTGAAATTAGTGTGTATCTTACATCTAAGAATCAAAGAAATACAGTATATCTTTATGTAGAGGGAAAGATACATTTTACAAAGAGGAAGAAAGTGAGTGGGAGGGAGGGAGACAAGAGCAAAATAGGAAGAGAGAGAGCCAGGAGAGGAGAAGAGAAGAAAATGTAGGGGTACAACAGTCAGGTGAGATATTTATTTATTTACAGTATTTATACTCTGCCCTTCTCACCCCGCAGGAGACTCTGGGCAGATTACGATGCACATTTACATAGCAAACACTCAATGCCATTTGACATATAACATATATAGACAGACAGACTATATATGATAACGATTTTTTTTCAAACTGTTATGTTGCTGATATGTTCCTTTTTTGCTTTAGTAATGCGGTTAAGGTAAAGGTAAAGGTTCCCCACTGACTTTAAGTCTAGTTGAGTCCAACTCTGGGGGTTGGTGCTCATCTCTATTTCGAAGCCAAAGAGCCAGCGTTGTTCGTAGACACCTCCAAGGTCATGTGACCGGCATTACTGCATGGTGTGCTGTTACCTTCCCACTGGAGCAGTACCTATTGATCTACTCACATTTGCATGCTTTTTGAACTGAGGGAGGATGGACCATGGATGATGGGATTTACAGTACTTTCATTCGCTTCGGCTCCCAAATACCTCTGTGATGCCCAAAATGACAGATCTGGGCCAAACTTGGCACACAGAGCTCCCATTACCCACTCTACATCCTGGTGTCGTTTGGAGGAGGATGGACCATGGATTATGGGACTTGCAGTACCTTCACTTACTTTGTGAGATTACTAGGACCAGCATGAATGAAGCTGGGGCTAACAATGGGAGCTCACCCCCACTCCCCAGATTCGAACCATCAACCTTTCGGTCAGTTCAGCAGCTCTGTGGTTTAGCCCACTGCGCCACAATGCGGTTACTGATGTGGTAAAAGGCTGGTGTGATAAATGTCCAGAGTAAAAGAAATAATAATAACAACAACAACAACAACAACATCACTTTATTTATATTCTGCCCTTCTCACCCCGAAGGGGACTCAGGGCGAATCGCAGTACAAACATTCAATGCTGCTTTGTATAGACAATATACAGACAGACAGAACAGAAAGGAGGTGGTTTGTTTCAGCTGTTTTTGGTACCATGGAAGGTTGGACTCAGTCCAGAGGGTGCTGTTGCTCTATCCTCTATGACAGGGGTCCACAAACTTTTTAAACAGAGGGCCAGGTCATAGTCCCTCAAACTGTTGGAGGGCCGGATTATAATTTGAAAAAAAACCATGAATGAATTCCTATGCACACTGCACATATTATTTGTAGTGCAAAAACACTTAAAAACAATACAATAATTAAAATGATGAATAAATTTAACAAATATAAACTTATTGGTATTTCAGTGGGAACTGTTTTTGGCTGATGAGATAGGATTGTTGTTATTACTGTGTGCTTTCAAATAGTTTCAGACTTGGGTTGACCCTATGTGAAGGCCGAGTAAATGACCTTGGAGGGCCATATCCGGCCCCTGGGCCGTAGTTTGAAGACCCCTGCTCTATGAGGAAGAGCCATCAGGACTTCCTCCTTCCTTTTTTGGTCGCCCAGCATTTTCTGATCTTTATTTATGGCATCGTAAAACACTTTTATTTATTTATTTATTTTACTTTACTTATATACCGCTGTTCTCAGCCCAAAGGTGACTCACAGCGGTTCACAACAAATAAGAACAGCAAAAATTCAATGCTACAGTGTAAAAACAGTTAACAACCTAACATTTTACATAATTAACAAACAATTACTACAATAACCATTCACTATTCACTATCGTCTCACCATCAAAAACATGATCCAGATTCGTCATCCATTATTCCATTCCAATGTTCATTAGCCAATCATTGCACTAATTATTTGAATGCCTGCTCAAACAGCCAGGTCTTCACTTTCCTGCGGAATACCATTAGAGATGGTGCTAGTCTAATGTCCGTAGGAAGGGCGTTCCACAGCCGAGGAGCCACCATCAAGAAGGCCCTATCTCTCGTCCCCATCAGCCATATCTAACTTATCTAATTGCTGCTAAAGCTGTTTTCGAATTACTTAGATAAACAATGAGCTAGACTGACAGTTGGCAGCTCATGCCAACCCGAGGCTTCGAACTTGCAACCTTTTGGTTGATAGATCTAATAATTGCTGATGATTTACCAGCTGTGCTAAACCTCCAGTCCTATAGTAGTACTCAGAGGATAAATACTCAAAGGATATGGGCCCTTCCAGACAGGCTCTATAGTCCAGGATCCGATCCCAGGTTTTCTGCATTAAACTGGATTATATGTGTCCCCAGATAATCTGGGATAAACAGAAAACCTGGGATCAGATCTTGGGTTATAGGGACTGCATGGAAGTGACTGGCTTGACTCTGAAGGAGCTGGGGGTGGCGACGGCCACAGGGAGCTCTGGCGTGGGCTAGTCGAGGAGGTCACGAAGAGAGTGGGAAGCGACTGAATGGATAAACAACAACAAACTGGAAGGCCCCTCAATGACTGAATAACATCAGTAAGATTAAATCTACCTGCATTGTTTCCCTGAAGCCTCCGGCCAGCCCTAATCCCGCAGTTGTGATCGCAAGTTTGCAAAACTTTCCCAGGAGAAAACTTCCGCCCTGGAGAGAGGCTGGGACTTTGCCAAGGCGCTACCCCCGGTCTCCTCCTTCTGGCCCCAACTGCGCATGCTTCCTGCTGACCCCGAACCATGGCTGTGCGACACCTTTTCCTGCTCAAGGAGCGCACCAAGCTGTTGGCCCCGACTTTGCGCACTTTTTGCGCGACCTGGCGCTTTTCGCACCGCTTGCGCGACGTGGCGGCGCAGAGCAGCAGCGCCCCGTCCCGAGACCACCTCATCTACACAGAGGAGCATTTGGCCCTGAGAGACTCCCTGAGAAAGGTATTGAGGAGGGGAGGAGGGCAGAGTTGCGCCCTGGGTTTGTCTTGCAAGGACTGCCACTACTTTGGGTCTAAGGCCCCCTTCCACACAGTTGAATAAAATCCCACATTATCTGCTTTGAACTTGAATATATGGCAGTGTGGACTCAGGGCCCTTCCACAGAGACCTTTGTCCCAGAATATCAAGGCAAGAAATCCCAGGTTATCTGAATGTGGACTCGGATAACCCAGTTCAAAGTAGATATTGTGGGATTTTGTACCTTGATATTCTAGGTGTGGAAGGGCCCAAAGATAGCAAAAATGATTGAGTCCAATTAAGGTGGGGAAAAACATACCTGGATTTCACACCTCTATCTCCTTCTACACTGCCCTGTATCCCAGGATCTGATCCCACATTATCTATTTTAAATTGGAATATCTGAGGCTCCACTATCAGATAATAATAATAGTATTTGGAGCTTTACTTTTACTTTACTTAGGCGATCCCTCGTAGTCCGAGGATGATGGTCCTCCAAGTTCGGTATCCTGGGGGTGGGTTCGTAGGTGGCTGTGGAGCCCTATTCTTGACCTGCATCTTCTCCCGCAGTGAGGGCATTGGTTTCCAGGTGGAAGGCGGTCTCGGTCAGGGTTGGCTTGACGTGCCTTCCTCTTGGCACGTTTCTCTCTTTCACCCTCCATTCATGCCTCTTCAAATTCTGCAGCACTACTGGTCACAGCTGACCTCCAGCTGGAGCGCTCAAGGGCCAGGGCTTCCCAATTCTCAGTGTCTATGCCAGAGTTTTTAAGGTTGGCTTTGAGCCCATCTTTAAATCTCTTTTACCGTCCACCAACATTTCGTTTTCCGTTCTTGAGTTCAGTATTTGGAGCACAGTACTCTTGACCTCACAATTGTGTTGAAAAACAAAGTATGGATCGTCGATGTTGCAATCCCAGGCGACAGCAGGATTTAAGGGAAATAACTGGAAAAGCTGACGCAATACAAGGATTTAAAGATCGAACTGCAAAGACTCTGGCACAAGCCAGTCAAGGTGATCCCAGTGGTGATCCACACTGGGTGCAGTGCCTAAAGACCTTGGCCTGCACTTAAACACAATTGGCGCTGACAAGATTACCATCTGCCAGCTGCAAAAGGCCACCCTACTGGAATCTGCATGCTTTATTCGCCGATACATCACACAGTCCTAAACACTTCGGAAGTGTCTGACATGTGATCCAAATACAACAGCCAGCAGAATGTCTGCTGTGGACTCATCTTGTTGTGTTTCAAATTATTATTATTATTATTATTATTATTAATAATAATAATAATAATAATAATTATATCCTGCTTTTCTCAAAGCTGTGAACAACATGTAAACAAAGCATACAATACATAAAAATAAACGTAATCGACAGATCAAAACATACCTGATAAAACTATAAACCCGCAACACATGTAATATGGGGGAAGTATCTGCTCTTGGAAGCTAAGCAAGCTAGTTATGCCAATGCCTTCTTCTAAAATCAGTAGTCTCCCATCCAAGTGTGGCTCTTAATAAGGCATGTTGCATTATCACAGGCTGTCTGCACCCTACATCACTGGAGACATTACACTGTCTCGCCGGTATTGCACCACATGATGTCTGCCGGGAAGTGGCAGCCAATAATGAAAAGACCGAGGCAGTGACATCCCCGGCCCATCCTCTGTTCGGATATCAGCCAGCATACCAATGCCTTAAATCAAGAAATAGTTTAATAAGACTTACAGAGATACTCGCAGCAACACCTCAGCAAGCAAGATTCCAAAAGTGGCAGGCTAAAACCCAGCACCTTAATCCATGGCTGATACCAAATGAGAGGCTCCTTCCTGGGCACACAGAAGAATGGGCAACTTGGAGGGCACTGAACAGGCTACGCTCTGTCACCACGAAATGCAGAGTCAGCATTAAGAAATGGGGCCACAAAGTGGAGTCCACAACGTGCAAGTGTGGAGAAGAGCAAACCACACACTACCTATTACAATGCAACCTGAGCCCTGCTACATGCACAATGGGGGACCTTCTTATAGCAACACCAGAGGCACTCCAAGTGGCCAGCCACTGGTCAAAGGGCATTTAATAGTTTTTAAACTGTGTTTTCTGAAAAACATTGTTTGCTCCTGGTAAAATAAATAAAATAAATAGATCCAAGTGTTGTCAAAAACCAGAACCCCAAAATGGACCATGAAACCCCTAGCCCTGAAGACTCCCAGAAACTGAATCCATGTTAATCTTTCCCCTTCTTTCTGGTGACTTTCCCAATGAAGTCGCCAAAGTTTGCACATGCTTAACACACACTTCAGGAAATCTCCCATCACTTAGGCTCCTTTTACATTGCCATATAATCCAGATTATAAAAACGGATAATCCACATTATCTGCTGTGAACTGGGTTATATGAGTTTACACTGCCATATAATCCAGTTCAAAGCAGATAATCTGGACTTTATATGGCAGTGTAGCCTAGGACTTGATATGGCCAGTCTTAGCCTAGGAAAAGACATAATCCCCTCACAATACTCAAAATATCCTAAAGCAGACTAAGTGGTTTTTTTGAAGATTTTATCTGGGAATAGGGATAAGACTAGATAGGACTGGGCTGTGGTGCAGCTAGTTAGTAGCCAGCTGCATTAAAACACTACTGACCGAGAGGTCGTGAGTTTGAAGCCAGCTTAAGCTCCCAACCATTAATAGTCTAGCTTGCTGTCAACCTATGCTGCCCAAAAGACACGTTGCATCTGTCAAGTAGGAAATTTAGGTACCTCTTTATGTGGGGAGGCTATTTTAACTAATTTATGACACCATAAAACCTTCCAGCAGTGTGCATAAGAATGAGGAAGGACTCAGTGTCACAAGTGGATGGTGAAGCGGCAGTTCACCTTGTGGCCGGAATCGAACATACCCTCGGAATGTTAAATTGCCTCTGTGTCTGTCTATATATGTGTATGTCTAAATGGCATTGAATGTTTTCCATGTATATGTGTATTGTAATCTGCCCTGAGTCCCCTCCGGGGTGAGAAGGGCGGAAAATAAATACTGTGAATAATAGGCCTGTTTGATCAAGAAAAAATTTGTTTCTAAAATCGTTTTGTAATTGGGGTGTTTTTTTGTTTCGATATTTAAAATAATTACAAAACTTTTCCAAAAAAAGTTTTGGTATTTACGAAATTTTGTAATTATTAACGAATTTTTAGAATATTTTTTTTGTATTATTTAATAATAATATTAAAATAATATTAAAAAATAATATTAAAAATAATATTAAAAATAATATTAAAAATAATATTAAAAAATATTTTAAAATGGAAAACGAAACCGCACAGGCCTACTATACAGCGGGTTTGAGTCAGACCCAGCTAACACCTCCCAACAAAGGATTCCCCTGAGCAGGAATAATATTAAAATAATATTAAAAATAATATTAAAAAATATTTTAAAATGGAAAACGAAACCGCACAGGCCTACTATACAGACATAGCGGGTTTGAGTCAGACCCAGCTAACACCTCCCAACAAAGGATTCCCCTGAGCAGGAATAATATTAAAATAATATTAAAAATAATATTAAAAATAATATTAAAAATAATATTAAAAAATATTTTAAAATGGAAAACGAAACCGCACAGGCCTACTATACAGACATAGCGGGTTTGAGTCAGACCCAGCTAACACCTCCCAACAAAGGATTCCCCTGAGCAGGAAGGAGCCAGACTTTGAAGCTACAAGGCCATTTAATCCCAATCAAGCTGTCCAATGGCTAGTTTCCAACACACCTCACAACCTCTGAGGATGCCTGCCATAGATGTGGCAAAATGTCAGGAGAGAATGCTTCTGGAACATGGCCATACAGCCCAGAAAACTCACAGCAAGCCAGTGATTCCAGCTCCTGCGCTCCGCCTCCGGGGGCCCGGCTCCTGCGCCCTCCGGGAGAGAAAGAGAAGGAAGGAAGGAAGGAAGGAAGGAAGAGAGAAGAAAGGGGGGAGTGAGGCTAGGCAGAGACGAGAGAAAGAGAGAAGGAGGGAAGGAGACAGAGAGAGAGGGAGAGGGAGGAGAGAAAGGGGGAACGCGAGAGATAGAAAGAGGGGAAAGGGGGAGTGTGTGAGAGAGAGAGAAAGAGGGAGGGAGTGAACCCCTACCATGGGCAAACCAAGTAACAGCCATCAGACTTCAAATCAAGCCATGACAGTTTATTAAATTTTCCACTACACCTCCATGCCAATCAACGGTGATGATGGACAGCACTCCTGCACCAATCAAACAACAAGCAGATTCTAACCAACACCAATTTGAACCAGTGAGCGGCCAGAGTGGCAAAGTCCTTTATTTCAAGTAGCTGCCAAAGTGCTATAAATAAATCTGTTTGTTGGCAATTGTGCTTATGTTAGTCTTTAGAACACAGACTCTCCTGGCATCCACTTTGGTCAAGGTGAATAAAGGCCTCTGTTTCTTTAGCCTTCCAACAGTCTGCGTTTCTTTGATCTTTGTAGCTAGGCATGCCAAATCCACAATTTTAGCGGAGCTGAAATCATTCAACATTAGTACTATGAGGAGTGACTATGTTTTACCTTTAACAGGCAGAATCCTTTATGCTGGTTTTCCTTGGACTGAACTAGACTGAAGATATGGGGTCTAGTTACTTGTGGAAAAATATATTAGGAAACATTTCCTTTTTGGACCATGGCTCTAAAGGCCTGCATTTAGAATTTCTGCTTGGCACTTTTGACTGATATCTTAATATGTGTGGTCATTCCTCCTAATGTCATATACCTTGTGCTAGACCGAGGCATGGATAATAATCCAAATGAGATTTCTTTCCCAATTCTGTTCATGTTTCCAATTGGTCACATTTTGGGGTTCAAAAGTAAAAAGTCCATAATACTGTGGGAAAGTCCTCCAAATTCTTAACCATTGCAGTTGTCTTCTTATGCATATTTTTAGCCCATTGCCCAACCCTGAGAAAATGCCTAGTTGCAAAAGGTAGACATG